CCACAATGCCCGGCTGTTTTTAGAGATGGGGGTCTCATTCTTGCTCAGGCTGGTCTCAAACTCCTGAGCTCAAGCAATCCACCCACCTCAGCCTCCCAGAGTGCCCGAATGACGGGCGAGAGCCACTGCACCCAACCCGTGTGGTCTTTTTAAATAGTGGTGCTCACTCACGCGTTCATCATGGCAGAGCTAACACGTCAGGTATGTGGTTATTTTTCCTTGGTTTTAGTCACATAATCTGTGGATGTTTTCTGAGCATTGACTCTGAGGATATCTACTGGCGTCTCACGACTGGTATATATATATATCTATATGTATATCTATCTATCTATATATATATATTTCAAACATTTCCAAAATTATATGAACTTCTCCCTGCCTGATTGACAGAACATGAAAATTTCTAGTGGTTCAAATGTTTAATACACACATTTAACTTTTGCATAGCTTATTAATCTTAGCTATTTAACAAACTAAGTTTTGGGGGGGGCAGTAACGTGTTACTGTGAACTGATAGTGAAAGGCAGATGTGAAAGCAGACTAGAGATACGCCATCCTTTTCCTTTTTTCTTAATGCGGACCACTTCACGAATTTGCACGTCATCCTTTCCCAGGCACCATGCTTATCTTCTGCACATCCTTCCAGTTTTAGCAGATGTATTTCTGAAGCCAGTGCTTTTTTTAAAAAAGAAGACTTCTTGCAAATGTTCAGTTTTTCTCAAAACCAAGAGCCTTCCCAGATTTTCCGCCATAAGACTCTCATATAAATTTAGCTTTCCCATATAAATTTGAGGATGCTTTCATGTCATCTTATTTGTTTAATTGATTTATGGCAAAAAAAAAAAGGTAGAAGATAAAACGTTAGATAGATACACAATATTATAAAGGTACTGAAAAATGTATAATTTAGAAAAGGAAAAAACTATATTAAAATGACAATACTCCGGCGGTGCCTGTGGCTCAGTGGGTAGGATGCCAGCCCCATATACGGAGGGTGGCGGGTTTGAACCTGGCCTCAGTCAGCTAAAACAGCAGTGACAGCTGCAACAACAACAACAACAATCTATAATACTCAAGTCACATTTGACTTCTGCAATTACAAGAGTTACAGGTACAATATCCAAGATAACAAACATTATCGGTGTGTTTTGAGTATTACCATTTTAAGACAGCTTTTCCTTTCTTAAAATGTGTGTACATTTTTTTTTCATGTTCTGTATATGAAATCCGGTTGGCTGCTGTTTGACAGATTACTTCTCATTAGATACAGATCTCAGCTGCTCAGTCTTCTTAGTATTAATTACTTCTCGATTCTGTCTTATTTAAAGGATTTTTTCTCCTCTAATTCCCACGTCTTCATCTCCATTTTCTAAATGAACAAAATCAGGGTACAGAGAGAAGGTTCATGTCATTCTGAGACACGCCCCACTGCTCTACATGGGTTTTGCTTAACAAAATCTATCCTCGAATGTGTATGGGAAAGCTAAGTTCCTTCACATGCCCGGCACGTGTGGGTCTTTCTGGGCTCCCTGTAAAGTCTAAATAGTTGTCCTTGTCATGAAATGGGGCTTCTAGCAGGGCTTCGTTTTGTTGGCTGCTCAGTGGCTCTTGACTTGCACCTGACTTCCACGTGGGGGGGAGGCGGGGAGGAAGCAGTTTTCCGTGGGAAGCTCACCTTTCCCAGTGCCCCCCTCTGACTGCTCCGTCTCCTTCCTTACCAGTTGTGGTCCTCCGAATGTGTGGAGATGTGCTGGTCCACAGTGTGGCTTTGGGCCCATCATCTTTGACCAGGCCCTCTCACTGTGGCCACGTCCAGCGCCTTAGACTATTCTACCTGAAAACTCTCCCCCAGATCCCTGTCTCATCCTTGGCCTTGATTGAGGCACCATTGTCACTATTTAACTGCTTCCTAACCCATCTTTCTGCCTCTGCCTCTTTCTGCGTGTGCCTCTAGACCAGAGTTTTTCAACCTCTTTTCTCTCCCAGCACACTCTAACCTATAGTTAAACTTCTGTGGCACATTTAAAGGATGTTGATTAAAAAAAAAAAAAAAAGCAAAAAAAGAACATACTGTGCTTTGAACTTCTTTCAAAAATAATTTAGTTAATGATCTTTTAAAATTTTTCACACAGCACACCTAAGATCTTCTCAGGGCTCACTGGTGTGTCACAGCACACAGGTTGAAAATCACTGCTCTAAACCCCTGTGTACACTGTGACCCTGGTCACAGTCCTGCCATGCTCTCACCCCAGCCACCCCTCCTCCTCCTCGCTGCCTTCCAACTTCAGTCATACCTCCCTGGTGGAACTTACTGCCTCAGCATAGAATTGGGCCTCTCCCTTCCCAGACAGTAAAGCTGTTCAAATACAAAATTAAAAAAAAAAATTATTTTTGTCAGTCCACAGTCTAGACAAATGCCAAGAAATACTTGTGAATGCTGAAGGCATCTCTGGCCTGAGTTTTTGCCTACGTGTTCCCCTGGCAGAGCTCAATCCAGGTCACAGGTTTCATTAAGATGTGGCCACCTTAGCTTGGAAATGATAACATTGGCATTTAGTATTCCTAGAGCGCTCAGCTCCATTTCCACTTAACATCCCATAATTCTATATGCAGCAGAAGATGGCTCAACTGCCTTATGTTACCTTCTTGGGAAGAGGTGTTTGTCCCCTCCTTGTCCTCTGTAAAGGGCACGGATGACAATGGCATTTAACATCTGTTAAACCCTTCCTGTGTGGCAAGCAGGGGCCTTTGTGTGTATTACCACTTTCCTTCCCCCTCCTGATGCTGCAGGGGCTATTATTCCTTTCATTTTAGAGAACTGGAAAGGGAGGTACGGGGAGGTGACATATGTAGCCTGAGGACAGAGGGAAAAAACTAAACCAAGGTGCTCTTCTTATTTTCTCACTCACAGCAATCAACCTCTGGTCACCAAGAAGTGTGTGGGGATTTCTCCCCAGCCAACAACCAGTCAACCAATCAGCAGTGGACACCAGCTGGGTGTCCTCCAGTTCATTCTGACACCATCCACCCCGGAGACAGTGTCGGAGTCCACAGGACTGACCCCCAGGTTGTTTTACCTGTGCTTCAGGCTGTAAATTAGGGTTTCTACATCCCACTCCTGGGTTAGATTAATTTGATCAACCAGCTCACAGAACTCAGGGAGACACTGCATTTACTGGTTTAGTATAAGGGACATTACAAGGACACAGATGAAGAGATCCAGGCCTCCAGGCCCTCTCTGGGGGCACGCCACCCTCTAAGGACCTCCACATGTCAGCCCTCCAGAAGCTCATCCAAACTCTTTCTGGACTTTTATGGAGACTTCATTGCATAGGTATGATTGATTAATCATTGGCTACTGGTGATCATCTTCAGCCTTCAGCGCCCCTCTCCTCCCTGGAATTTGGGGGTGGGTGTGAAATGTCCCAACCTTCTAATCACTCCTTGGCCTTTCCTGTGACCACCCCCCATCCTAAAGCTACGAGAGGCTCCCCACTACCAGTCATGTTGTTAGCATGCAAAAAGACACTTAGCATGTTGGAGATTGCAAAAATTTTAGGAATTAGTTGTGTACTAGGAGACCCAGAACTTAGACCAAATATATGTATTTCACAATGTCACACCTAGTGGGAAGCAAGGCGAGCGCATGAACCAAGGATGGATGACTCCCAAACTCATGTGGTTAACCTTCCACACCTTACTATCTTCCCCAAAAAAAGCTATTCTAAAAACTATCATAACTGGTTTGGCGCCCATAGCTCATCAGCTAAGGTGCCAGCCACATACACTGGAACTGGCAGGTTCAAACTCAGCCTGGGCCTGCCAAACAACAATGACAACTACAACAAAAAAATAGCTGGGCATTGTGGCAGGCACCTGTAGTCCCAGCTACTTGGGAGGCTGAGGCAAGAGAATTACTTAAGCCCGAGAGTTTGAGGTTGCTGTAAACTGTGATGCCATGGCTACATAGTGGGATTATGTCTCAAAAATAAAAATAAAAATAAATAGTAATTAAAAATTATCGTAACTGGGGCAGCACCTGTGGCTCAAATGAGTAGGGCACCAGCCTACTCATTTGGTGGGTTCAAACCCCAGCCAAAAAATAATTATCACAACTGATAGAGAATTTTAGGATAAATGCAAAAATTTAAATAATAATTATTACCAATAATTTTTACTCAATAGTGTAACTTTGGTCCCTTTGTTATTTTAGGGAAATTTTAAATCTACTGTTGGGTTAGTAGGAAAAAATTCTGACAAAAGTCAGGGTTCCATAGCTAGAGTTCTGTGCTTACACTTACTGTTTTTCCATAATAAGCAGTGCGTCAAAGTAACTTTGATATTTATAATCAAATATTCTATACCAACAACAATTTGTATAGCTTTTGTGTTATACATGTACTTGCTATTTCAAATTACTTGTGTTGCATGGGCCATTTTAGTGGAAATAAAGTTAGCTTAAAAATAGGAAGTGCCTACCAGTGCTTACCAGTGTGGTGGCTCCCGTCTATAATCCTAACTCTCTGGAGGCCAAGTCAGGAGGGTGCCTAGAGCTCAGGAGTTCAAGACCAGCCTGAGCAAAAGCAAGACCCTGTCTCTACTAAAGATAGAAAAATTAGCTCTTTGCCTCTTTGCCTCTTGCAATTGAGGCCTGTTCTCTGTTTATGGTGAACGTATCTTGCTCTGTAGGCCTGTATCTTGCTGGGTAGGCCTGTATCTTACTCTGTAGGCCTGTATCTTGCTGGGAAGGCCTATATCTTACTCTGTAGGCCTGTATCTTGCTGGGTAGGCCTGTGTCTTGCTCTATAGGCCTGTATCTTGCTGGGTAGGCCTGTATCTTACTCTGTAGGCCTCTATCTTGCTGGATAGGCCTGTATCTTACTCTGTAGGCCTGTATCTTGCTGGGTAGGCCTGTATCTTACTCTGTAGGCCTCTATCTTGCTGGGTAGGCCTGTGTCTTGCTCTTGCCCTGTAAACCTACCTTCTTCTTCCTCAATAAACTTTGTTCCATGCTTGCTTAAAAAAAAAAAAAAAAAAAAAAGAAGAAGGAAGGAAGGAAAGAAAGAAAGAGAGAAAGAAAAAGAGAAAGATTAGCTGGGTCTGGCAACGGGCACCTGTAGTCTCAGCTGTTCAGGAAGCTGAGGCAGGAGGATCCTGGAACTCGGAAGAGTTTGAGTGAGTTGTGAGCTATACTGGCACGAGGGCACTCTAGCCATTGAGACTCTGTTTCAGAAAAGAAAAAAAAGAAAGAAAAAAAGATAGGAAGTACCTTGATTAGCTCAATGAAGCCATGGTCAATTCAATTAAACTGTTAAAATATATTTCAGAGGAAGGCATGTTTAAGGTCCTAAATTAATTCAACACAGTCGTTCCTAAGCACTTACTACTTACCTGGGAATGCGTGCTGTGCTTGGTGCTTTGAAGATAAATGTTATTTACAAAATGCCTGGTTAATAAAAACTTCCTTTAGAATGCTGTTTGACATCAGAGATCTTTATCCTGAACTTAGTAGTTAACAAAGTTTCATTTCATTTAGGTATAGTAGGAGAGTCTTACTACGGGGTGAGTTTGCATAAAAATTGCAGGTATCCAACTCACCTGTTCTGTGTTTATAGATGTATTTCCACCTGCACTCCATAATGTGCCCCCAGACTTTTACCCTTTAATGCATCCACA